TGGTCCATGCTGTACACAGAATCCTAGCGACCTTGTGGGAGTGATGACGTCACATCCTGCTAACGCACTACAGATGGAGGTGGAGGCTGTAAACAAGCCAGCACCCGTTGTCCAGCCTAGGACAGGGGAACGCGTGCAGTTCACTCAACCCGGCAAGTTTCAGCTCCGGAAATGATGGAGGGAGCACTCATCACTGGAAGCAACAGCGATACGAAATCAGCAGGACAGAGCGTGCCAACGATGAATGCAACTAAGAGTACAGTTGGGACCATGAACCCTCAAAGTGTAATTACCATTAACGCCACAACAGTGGGAAAGACTACAACCAGTGTGACTATATTTGGTAACGAAGTTTTGAACAAATTCAAAAAGAAATGTGTCAAGGACGAGTAAGTTACAAATAGAGTGTATCATTTTCCTTACAATTTATTTTGCATTTTGACTGTACCCACTTAAGTAGGTCCATAATAATGTACCATAACCATTTAATTATTGTATGATGTTACCTTATTTTTGGTATTATTTCATAACAATAACTGTATATGCATGAGTATAAGAAAAGGGAACTTTCGTTATGAAGGCTTAAGGAAAAATAATATATAGATATAGTTAGGGTAACCCAAGGATGGAAGCCTAACTAGGTGACGTTATGACTTCCATTTGAGGGGGAGGCAATGTTATGCCACGGTATAGGCAGCAACCAATTTTAGCACCTAGACACGGTGGAACGGATGGGATGGTCAACAGGATGACTGACCAGAAATCGTATGAGATCATACCAATGAGTGTGTGCGGTATCTGCCAGTTAGCCATTACAAAGTGCGAGCAGAAGAGGATCATGCACCAGCCGAGCGACTGGATATGGGCAAGTTGATAAGAGGGAAATGAACAGCCAATGAGAATAGGCTATTTCAGGGCGGATCCCCGCGTGGGTAGTACTTGCGCGACCCCCTGGAACCCTATAAAAACCCCAGTTACAGTGCGGGAATAAGCCTTGCTTTGGAAGGAGTAGTTGCTCCTAGAACCAGTGTTAGTGTCAGACACGAAGGGACCAACGTTCGGCGCCATCTTATGGCTGTGGAGGTCATGTGAGTACTTGCCTATATTCAGGTCACTGTGAGCCATGCTCCTATATTCAGGTCACTGTGAGCCATGCCAATTCTCGTTAAATGGTGTAACATAGGGTGAAGGAGTAACGATCCAGTAGATATTCCATAAACCAAGTAGAGGACAATGTATACGGCTTTAGGAATTGTAGCAGTAGTAGGATTACTTTATGTATTAGGGTAGGTTAAGGTAGTGCACTACATGTACATAGAGATTTCATACTTAATTATATAATTTATTATGTCAATTGTCATTTCACGTGTTGTTACTGTATATCCCGACCCAGTGAGAGGTATCCACAAGTGCCCAAAGGGATTAGGCTACCATAACCCCTTGCGGCACAATATTATGCAGCGTGCTATGAAGGCATATGGGGGAGTGGATTAATAGATCCATGTTTTCTTGACCTTGGCACTAACTGGAGGTAAGTGGTCAGCTTCACACCCCAGCTGCTTTACCCTCAGGAAAGAGCCCCTGGTACCCATTGGAAAGGAGACCGGGTAGGCCCCAGAATTGGTCTGGACGACAGTGAAAATTGAAAATTCTTGCTCCTAATGGGACTCAACTTCAACCCCTCAGTTGTCCAGCCCATAGCCAATCGTTATACCAACTGTGCTATCCAGGCTCCAAACATTAGATGAGGAGGAATCTTAAATGAAGAATATTAAAGAAAAGTTCTGCTGTACTAAACTTCAGATGGATGAGCTAGTCTTCAGAAATATGAGTTTGATTTTGACTCCATACAGGAGTTTTACTTGACCAGCACTTGATAATTTTACATTATTTAAAAATTCCCCACCTTTTATGGAAACTGAAAATTCATTACCATGTTCACTACAGCCTGCCAACGGATACTGTTCTGAGCAAGAATAATCCATTTCACATCCTCAAACCCTGTTTCTGTAAGGTGAAGTTTAACATTGTCCTTCTATCGATGGCTAGCGTTACCTGCTTCCCTTCACTTTTTCCAGTTAAGATCCTGAGGGCATTTCTCATTTAATTTGGGCTGCATGTTTCACTCACGTCATCCTCCTTAACTTGACCACATTAACATGTGATGAAGAGTAAAACATAAAACAGGGTTGTGATGTAAAATAATCTTTGGTGTATGTGATGTGACAGTTAATTTTCCGGCTGGCCACAATTAGACATCACTGCAGTTAGAACAAAATTTCTATGCTAGGTTGGGGTACAGAAAAATCTGCTGTACTATCTTTACTTTACTCTATTTATTGCATTCTGCCCATCCATATAAGGTCAAACCAACCTATTGGATATAGAATCTGTCATGTTTAAACATAAAATAATAAAATATACATTCATAACCATGTTTAAATATAAGATAATAAAATGTACATTCCTAACACACACAAGAACAAATGATAACACACTAAGAACCACTATAAATTAGTGCAGTCCTATATAATAATACGAACACTAATATAAACACTGATACAGGTGCAGTAGATACATAAGCTGTGTAATTATATTATCCATAGGAGAGACAATCAAGACAAAGTGTTCACTGAGAAGGTGATTTATAATATTCATCAATACTATAAAAAGCATGTTCAGTGAGATTGCTTTTTAATAAAAATTTGAAAACTTTAATATCTTTGGATAGCAATTTAATGTTTGAGGGTAAGTGGTTATAAATCTTGCTACCTGAGAAAAGCACTCCTTTCTGAACTATCGATAGATTTGTAGAAGGTAAATATAAATTGTGATTATAACGTGTGTTGATATCATGAATATCGTTATTAGCTAAAAAATAATTTCTGTTCTTAACGACAAGAAGATGTAAGGAGAAAATGTACTGAGACTGAAGTGGCAATACTTGTAATTTTTTAAACCATCCGCGGCATGAACCCAGTCTACCCAAACCAGATATAACTCTTATTATTCTTTTTTGAATTTTGAAGATACTCACATGAGGGGCATTACCCCAGAAGATAATACCATATGACAATAAAGAATGCACATAGGAATAATAGTTCATCATCATTGAGTCTAGTAACATAAACGGCTTTATTGCCCTTATTGCATAACAAGCCTTATTTAACCTTAATGATAAATCTGTAATATGGTTCTTCCAAGATAAGGTACTACCAACATTTATTCCCAAGATTTTAGTACAACTGATATTTGTAATAATTGAATTATTAAATATTATTTGCAATTCTATTTCCCTGTGCTTTTTTTTTAGAAAGAATTGTATAAGGTGTGATTTATCATAATTTAATGTTAGAAACTTACTATTAAACCACATAATTGTTCCGTTCAGAACTAATTTGATATTATTTTTAAATTCTTCAGGATTCGTGTTTGATATGATAATACTTGTATCGTCAGCAAATAATATTGGATTACCTATTTTCTTAATGGATAATGGGAAATCCTTTATGTAAATAAGGAACAATAAAGGCCCCAATATAGAGCCGTGTGGAACTCCATATTTAACTAGTTCCCATTTTGAAGACACTTTATTAAGTTTGATATCTTTCATTGATACTCTCTGATATCTATTTTGTAAGTATGATCTCATTAACTTATTTACCATGCCCGAGATTCCATAGAATTCCATTTTTGCCAGGAGTATGTTGTGGTTAACACAGTCAAACGCCTTTTGTAGGTCACAGAATAAACCACCAACATAATTCTTTTTGTCTAAAGAAGACAATATATTATTTAAGAGAATGTATGTTGCCATTTCAGTAGATGATTTTTCTCTAAATCCAAGTTGTTCAGTGACCAATATATTGTGCTTATTTATATGGAAGTATAATCTTTCATAAATGATTTTTTGATAATTTTGGAAAAAGTTGGGAGGAGCAAGACAGGCCTGTAATTCGTAAATTCTGATTTATCATGTTTCTTGTATAATGGCTTAACTTCTGAGAATTTCAATCTATCAGGAAATATACCAGTTTGTAGGATCTTGTTAAATATGTATGCTAAGGGTGATAAGACATACGGAGCACTAAATTTCAGAATTCTTAATGATATCTCATCATATCCATGAGAGTCCTTAGGTTTTAGTGAAAATATTATTTTTTCAATTTCATGGGTATTCGTATTACTAAGTTTCATAGATGGAAACTAAAGATAAAAATTCTGATGTAAATAAGATAAAGAATCTTTATTATTAACAGTGGCTTTCCCCGAGGAGTTTAATTTTAAAGTTGTGGCTTGCATCCCTCAGAAAGGAAAATTTCAGAGAACAGCATTGAGAGTTCTGCCTTACACTAGGCAAAACTGCCATACAAACCTATGAGATGTTACACTTCCTGCCACGGGAAACAATTTTTGGCTAATTATGTCACGACTACTGTCTTGCACCCTCCATTTGTGACATTTTTATTTTTTTTGGAACTGATGGTGACTCTGAAGTGGAGGTAATTTGATGACATCATGATTACAGAAATATTGCAGACTGCACTTGCTGAGTTCAAAACAGTATTTCTGCAAATGCTCCCAACAGTGATACAATCACTTGACTCACTATATCAAGTTGCAATGAACTACAATCAAGGAGACAGCATGGAATACATGGTATATGCAATTATCACACAGGGGAGACAAAATCCAAAAATTACATCCTCACATTATATGTCCTGTAAAAATGAGCCAGACAGAATGTATATGTAAAGGATAAGGTGAAAAGTGCAGCAAGGGTACTATCTGTGTTTTAGACCGTCATTTTTTACACAAGGATTTGGTTGCATCCACTGAGATAAGGACTTTTAAGGGTTATACCAGTGCCTTAGTTGCAGTGTGTTGGCCTCCCTTCCTCAATGCAGCTGCAACCACTGCACCACTACTACCTGTCATATTTCTTCTCAATTTTCATGAGAAACCTAAAAGCAAAATCTATAAATACTGCCTGAACTTACTGATCTGCTGTCTCCCTGAGGTGCTTCTTGTGCTTCAGGTAATAGGCGCAGCTGTGGGTGAGGTCGTGATTCATTCTCAAGGAACTGCACGAAGGCTTCAGACAGGGACTGCAAAACAACAGTATACAGACACAAATAAAGTGATTCTTCTAACGATGGCTTGCGTGAAATTTGTGACAGCAAACAGGGAATTTCTTTTGACACTGTCCATTACTTGAATACAAAATTATAAGGTTTTGGAGGCTGGTTCTGCTTTGAGTTTCACGTGCACAAGGAAAGAATGGCTATTTTGTGGGATCCCTTAAATGAAACTAAACCAACATGAGGCACTGAAGTAGATGTAACAAGAATTGTATGGAGAAATGGGACAGGGATACAACACCAGTGGGTGGTGGTGGTGGTGGTGGTGGCAGCGGCGGCAGCAGCAGGAGGAGGAGTGGTAGCAGTGGTGGCAGTGGTGGCGGCGGCGGCAGCGATGATGATGATGTCAGGTTACAGTTATGCAACATGAAACAAACATAATCCCATTCCAGGAAACAAAACCCGAACATGTTGATCTTGAGGCTCTTACTGTGGTCATTACCTTCTGGGATGTAATGAATGAATGAATGAATGAATGCCATGTAATCTGGCAGAAGTGCACTAACATTTCAGAAGATATACTGCCTTCATCTTCAAGGCGGAAGAGCAGGCCAAACAAGAAACAGGTGGCAGCCAGCAGGATTTCTGCTGGACTACATGGAAAATGGGAACAGTTAGATGTAAAAATGAAAACTTAATGGAATATCTGCTGATTTCTTTTCACGCAATTTTGTTTTGTACTTTGTATCCCCTGGAGTTCACCCGAAAAGGAACATTCGTCCCCCATCAATGAGCTCAAAAAAGTGTTCTAAGCTTTACTCAATTAATAATATTGTGGTCAGAAACAGGAAAGAAATGAGTCCAACAATAAGAAAAAGTATGTGCAGATTGCTTTAATGGACTAATATAAAAAGAAAAGAAAAATAAACCAATAACTATTCATTAAGCACAATGTACGTGGGTAGGCTGAAAAGTAATGCACACATGCTTGTAGAGCATGAAAAAAGCAAATAGCAAGCTCGGGCAAAAAGTACATTAAAGTACAATTCTTAAGTTTCAAAAGCATATATTTATTTTTCAACATAGTCACCGTTAAGTCTAACACATTTCTCCCAACGTGTAACAAGTTTTTTCATTCCATCACTGAAAAATTCTTCCAACTTTTCTTGAATCCAGGACTTGACAGCTGCCTTCACCTCATCGTCCGAGGTGTAATGATTACCCTTGAGGTCTCTCTTGAGTAGAGGAAAAAAATAAAAATCGCAAGGCGTAAGATCGGGGGAATAAGGAGGGTGTGGAATCGGTTCGAACTTCAGGTTTCGCAGAGCCTCTTCAGTTGCGCGCGAGGTGTGTGGACGAGCGTTGTCATGTTGCAAGATTATTGGTGCCAGACTGCCTCTAACACGACAAACTCGACGCCGGAGGTGTTTTAGAGTCCGCATGCACTGAGAAGAATTTACCGTTGTCCCTTGTTCCAGAAAATCGGTCACATAAACTCGGTGAGCATCCCAAAACACAGTCAAAAGAAGTTTTTTGGCAGATGGTTGTGTTTTGAACTTTTTCGCCTGAGGAGAAGATGGATGTCGATATTCAGCACTCTGTCTTTTCTCTTCCGGGTCGTAACGATGGACCCATGACTCGTCCCCCGTCACAATATTCAAAAGAAAGTCGTCTCCTTCGTCATGGTGGCGCTGCAAAAGTTGCTCGCAGCATTCCAATTGACGCTGTTTGTTCTCGTCTGTGAGACGGCGTGGTACCCATCGTCCACAGATTTTACGGTATCACAACTGTTCAATAATGAAGCCGACATCTTCCTTGGATATGCCAATATGGTTTGCAATACGCTTTTGAGTGATTCGCCGGTCATTCTGAATCAAATCGTCGATGCGTTTGCGAGGATTATCGTCTGTGGCAGTGATCAGACGTCCGCTGCGTGTTTCATCAACAATTATGGCTTTTCCAGGCTCGCAACAACGAAATTTTATTACCCATCGATTTACAGTAGACCTATCAACAGCATCGTCACCATAAACAGCCTTTAAACGACGATGAATCTCAGTAGGAGTCACTTTTTCAGCAGTTAAAATTCGATAACAGCACGCTGCTTAACTCGCGTTGACATAGCACTAGAACACGTCTCCATACTTCCGCTTCTCGAAATACACTGGATGAACGCAACAACCTCAAACCTGCGCATGCATGCATGAGGTGGAATGTTACTTCCACATGCCACCTGGCGTGCTTCTGAAGGTCATTTCGTTCGCGCTCTACAAGCATGTGTGCATTACTTTTCAGCCTATCTATGTATAAACTAGCATGACCTTCTGACCTGTGATACAGAAATCCACTCCACACAAAACTTGCTTACAACTGATTCAAATGTAGGCTGCATATAAAACAGTAACTTGGTAATGTACCTGCATGTTAGATGGGCCTTTACCAGGCTGTAGGAAACTCCTGAACCAGCCAGAAGGTGATGTCCCAGACTCCAGTCCTACCCGAGCTCTCTCTTCTTGGTTGAAGTCCAACACAGTTGTTACTATGCGCAGCACCTGGTTGCGAGTATTCGGTGGAGCAACAAAATAACCCAATACCAGATTCTTCAAAAGGTGCCTGCAACAATTACAAGGACAGCTGTAGCATTATGTCTCTCATGGCCTGTACCATGCACGTTCTACCAGAAATAGTACGTTAATTACCAGAGTTCAACAAATATACATGTCTACCCCTATGCAATAACTAAAAAGATGTTACTGGTGAGTAAACGTTACAGTATGTTGTAGTGTGTAATACTCTCTTAGGCACCTTTGTAGCTCTCTAGAATGCCTATTAAGTTTCTTCTGTCCATCCATAGGCATGAAAAAACCTCAGAACTACTAGATGGATTTTCATAAAATCTGATTTTACAAAAGTTTACAAAAAATTATCAAGTCACTTCAATTTGCACTTAGATCACACAAGTTTAATAACGATTTCAAACGACAAACAATGAGTGTTTGTGTGGATATTTCTGTAATATTTATCTGAGAGAAAAAATGTTTCAGGAAAAAGCTGCAAAAATGTAATATCTTGTGACCAATAAACTTCCTCCTTAAGTTTTAGAGTCTTCAAAATAATTAACCACTATGGATGAGTACATTTCTGAACTTGCATAATGAACCCTCAACCATGGCATAATGAACATAAGCATACTTAAGAGAGAGAGAAACAAAAGGAAGTCACATTTTTTCATTCTTTTAATGTAGTGCTCTATTATAATACGGCTTTGAAGCACATATTAAACAATTTACACATATTTAACTTTGTTTAATAGGTGTAATAACAGTGAATATAACCCTTAACATTGGTTGTTTATACTTCCATTCAGTAGGCCTATGTAGTTTTGGCTCTGTTTATTGTATGGGAAGAGTTCATCATAATCTTAATCATTTCATTTTAATTCCTTCTGTCAAACAAGTCTGTGTAGGCTGCATAGTTTTACAATTTTGCTTTTCAGTGACTTCTTCCAATTCCTTTTCAGTAACATTTCTGCAATCCTTCTGGCCACATATCCCCCAATTAGAACATGGAATTTAATGTTGCCTCAAGGTTGAGAACTCATAAATATCAGAATCAGACTGCTGTTTGGTTTGAGGATAAGAAATGGTATGGCTCTCCAAAATGTATGTAAAGCAAACATTATATTATATTGGATGACATGGAAAGATCACCATAAACAGCATGCATGTAGGAAGATGATTGCAACCTATTTACTATTTCAACATTCACCTAACAAACAGGAGAAACTATGAAAAACCTTTCAGCCAAGGAATCTATTCCAACCAAGATTTGAAAATTGCACACCTTAGATACAAGTCCAGATCACATTCGCTATACCTGCCTATTTGATCAAAGCTATACACAAGAAATACCAATGTAAGCATATAGCGCTGGTCTCACCTGTCAACTTTCCCTTCCATATTAAGACTTGCAGACTGAACTTTGGTCTCAGACTCTTGCAACTGGCTGCTCAGTCTGGTCACTGTAACCAAGTTTAATATTACAAATTATTATGTGAGATTTTAGGTTCTCACAACAGTGTATAAGAAGATTATAGTCTCATGCGATGTGATAAACAATTCTGCTGATAGGTGTCAATGCTTCAGAGGATCCTGCCACCTCCATCTTCTGGACAGAAGGAAGGAGTGGGACCTGCAGAGTCTCATACAAACACAGGCAATTCTTGTATCTGTCACTCCATAATTACAAAAGTAGTTTAGTTATTCTAAGCTTAGCTTCAAAACTATCCAAATTACAATGCAGTGCCACCTGCACAAAGGATGTCTGCAACATTCAGAAATTCTACCATGTTGAGTCAGTATCACTAGGATGGTATGTGCATACAATCTTGAAAAGGATATTGCCATTAAAATTATAACAGGGAATATGTCAGTAAGTGATACAATTTCAGAAAACTGCATAAGTATATAAAATAAATGATAGCAAGATATGCCTCTTTTCTTTGATTAATTTACGATCCCCTTCTTCATATCCATATAAAGGGAAAATTCCAAATACAGTCCCACTTTATAAAATATGTTTATAATAATCAAACGTTTTGAAAATCAGCTGTTATTACGATAGGATTGTGGTTATTAAATGAGCCTGAACAGTTATACTGTTGGAAATATATATAAATGTATGAAACAGATGCAAATATGCACAAACATGTCTAATAAATGTCCAAGATAGTGTGACATGTTGCGCAAAGCCGAGCCCCCCCCCCACACCAGCAGTGACGCGGCGGGTGAGTCAGCGCTCCCCTCCCACCCCTCAGCGGTAACGTAACGCTCGCGTAATAGGCGAGTAATCACCCCGCATCCTGGCAGCCATGCGCGGTGACGTCACGAGCGGAGCCGAAGAGAGCCGAGCGGAGCCGAAGATAGCCGAGCCCCGTAACCGGGTAACTATGCAAGGCGAATCAACAGCGGTGACGTAACAGGATGACGTGGCACTCATTACGCAACAAGCAAGCACTGCAGCTATATAAGTGAGCTGCAGTGCTGGTACGAGGCAGTTCTAACGTGGCTACCAGCGAGTTCTACTGTAGCAGTCGGCGACTTCAGTTGTATTGTGGCATATGGAGTGTACTAATTGTGATACTGCAGATAGCAGTAACCGTAAATCTGCAATTTGGGTGATTGTAAGTGCGAATGTGAAATAAAATTCGCTACATCGAATACATCGAGAATTTATTTGTCGCGATATACGCCCGATACGCGACAATATATATAATTTTATAATAGACAATTGATTACAGGAAAATATTATCAGTTCTAACATGAAATAACAAATATAACATACAAATATTCAAGCAATCTCTTAAAACTCAACTGGACTGGACATCTATCTATATTAGAAAATATATCGATTCTAAGAGAAGCAAATTTGATACTGCGTTCAGTTCAGCACCATGTCATGAACATATATGGGTGGGGGGTGGTGTTGGTGTGGCTCTACGCATTCCTAAACCTCGGTACTAGATAAAGGTGCGTTATCACCTTCACACCCTGCTTTACCCTCAGCACACCTGGATAGGAGGTTGGGTGGGCCTCAGAGCTGGTCTAGAGCTGTGGAGAAGAGCCTGCTGGGAATGGAACTCTTTCTCCTTGGTCCAGACTGTAGCCTAGTCAATATAACAAATATGATACCACGCTCCCTAATCCTAAGAATATAAAGTGAAAATCTATTTTATAATACCCATGATAAATAAAAAAATTGTTTAACATACCAGCAGAAAGGAAAACGTAAATATAACATAAAATAAATACGTGTAAATTTACCTTCAACTCCTTGTTTACATATTTTTGTTCAATACTGTTTTTTTTTCATAGAAATTATTTGAACTGGAATATTCCTCTCACAAACACAAATTCAGCATTTTAAATAACTACTGAAAACATAAAAGAAAGAAAATAGTATTTTGGACATATACTATTTTATCTAAAAGACCTATTAAATATGAACGTGTCTAAAAAGGACAAGTTATGAAATGCAGGCATAGCATAACAATTTTGGCTCGTTTGTTCTGCTGCAATTATTGCAAAGGAAAAAAAAAACAATGTAAAATTTTAATACAATTATAGTTACAGTAGCATGCTCAAGCATACTTTAATTAAATATACATGTAGGAACTATAAATGCAGTTCAACGTAATTCACCTTATCATTAATGAAAACAAGAGATTTTGGTAATCTGGGTATGTTTGTAAGACATTTGCTGACTGCTGAGTATGTATAAAAGTGTAATAATTCTAGTCCAGTGCTGTCCAACGTTCTTATGTACTCGGGCACAATTCACTGATGCCTATGGAGGTGCGGGCGCCACCACACACTACTACTACTACTACTCATACTACTACTACTACTACTACTACTACTAATAAAATTTTTCGAAAATATTTAACAGTACTCAGACGTTCAAAAATGTCTCTTGTCTTACAATTTGAATTAATATTAAAAATCGGCTAAATTATATGTGGTTACGGAGGGCACCAGAAAAATATAGCAGGGGCACCGCGTTGAACAGGGCTGTTCTAGTCCATTCACTCTCCTTTCCTCATTTACCTTGAAAACAGGAACTTACAAAAAGGGTGTACTGGAGGTAAAACATAGTCATTTTCCTCAGTAATGTTAGATTGAAACACTGTTTGCCTCGATAAATACTTAATGTATTACGCTCAAGGTGCACACAGGTCTTCATGTTAATATTGTTATTTCTATGCAATTTTATGAACAAACTGAAAAACTTTCAGATCTCTTTGAGATTCAGTTATAAGGAGATTTTACTACACAATCAGCTGTTCCTTACTGACTGTACAATTACTTTTAATGAAAGGCATTCCAAAGATATATACCTTAAATGTAATTTATGATTATGTGATACACAAGCCCACATGAAAAATAATAATGGTACTAATCTACGCAGAATAACTTCAACCAAAACTTGCAACTAAATTTGTAATCTAACTAGATAGAAATATTTTTGTGTATACAGGGGCCTTTACTGTTATAAATATCCACAAAATCCTGTTCCAAACAATTAAGGTCATGTAGGATATATCATCATCATCATCAGTAATCTGTCAGGCGACAGGTCCACAGTCTCTTCCAAAACAGTTTCTCCACTTAATGCGATCTTCTGTTTTTGGAAATTAGAATTTTGTCAATTAGAAGCTTCCCAGACAGCTAATACCACCATTTTGCTTTAATTAAATAACCTCTAATGGCCATAATGATGGCCCGTCACTGATCAATAGTGGTGAGTTCAGAGCCATGGTTCCTCCTGGGATCTCTGCCGTAACAGTTGTGAAAACTACTTATGGAAAACAATTCTTGAACTCTGACTTATCTAATTTCACTTACAAGAGTTCTATTAAATCTGATGTTCTGATTATGACTAAATGCAGTAAAGAATTCTCAGGCAACCACATGCGTTCATCTTATACAGGATGTCCCAGGAGGAAAGTTCAATATCCTTGGATGTCATAGTCTCAGTCATTCTAAGCAAAAAAGTATGTGTGTACATGTGCCTTATTCCAAATTGTTTCCAAGACAGAGATATTTCACTGTATGGTTCCAAAATTGTTGATAAGAAAGAAACATTACTTACTGTTTCGGATACCAGTATTTACCGTTCATGTAACAAAGATTATACAGTTTACCTAGTATAACATTTTTTGAAATTCCACTGTCAACATCAATGTACTTTCCAACTTGTGTGAGAGCGTATCTGCATATTTTGTATTTGTGAAGATGTGCGGCATTTAACAACACTCCTACAATGTCACTATCAACAGTCACAACAGCCACCTTATGCTTCACATCAATTCACATGAGGGAGGAAAGGGCAATATTAGGCCCAAAATCTAAACCAGTGTAAAGTGAAATAGCTCTATCTCGGAGACTGTTTGGCATATGACTAGGGACCGGATTTGTATGCCCTAATACTCCCTTAAATATGTACGCATTTATGCATGAAAAACTTCCGAAATATGCATTAAAATATGCACATAAAAATTTATACCCAATATTAAAATTGATTTTACATTCTTTTATGACCAACAAATCAATATTTAAGTTCATTTTATGTAATCACTGAATGATTCACTTGCAATAAAGAGCTATACTTAAATACAAATCATGCAACAAAGCTAACATATTTAATTACAAATTTAAAAAACCAATGGTACTCACATTTAGCTCTCCAAACTTTCAGCTTCTCTTCTACTGCAGTTAACAATTATTAAATGTTTTAGGTTTTCCACAGTTAATCGCCTACTACTGCCTCGTAAGATGTCCTTATAGCGGAAAAACTTCTTTCCACATCAGAGGAACTTAGGGGCACATGTACAAAAGCCGCTATTTGCTCCACTGTTAGTGATTTTTTACTGGCTAAAGTTTCTTCAATTTCACAAATTTGTTCATATTCTGGATTTTTTAAAAGAATGCTGTGTACTTTTTCCTTTACTACTTCACCAACTCTTCCAGGAACCGAATTCAATTTGGAAACAGTGGTTCTGAACACACTTAACAACTGATACAAAGTAGTATTGCTATTGCTTGCCTCCAGTGAGGAAATGGCGGATGGAAGATGAGAGAAGTCAGCAGATATATAGGAAAGATTAGTTTCTAGTTCTGCGTTTTTTTAGTACATCTTGGGCAATTTGAATTGATGCTACACTTTTGGGATCAAATGTATTCACGACATTCCTAACTGTTTCTAAATGTTCGGTATAATAACTCGCTGCATACAGTCACATGCCCCAGCGCGTTAAAATTGGTTCTGGCGGAAGTGGAACGCTCGGTGCTACTGCTTTAAAGGCGTCTTTTCTATATGGCGCTTTAACAAATACCTTCTTCACAGAGGGCACAAACTTGTCAACAAGCGGAAAATTTGCACGAATTGTTTCTGCAACACGGTGCAACCTATGGGCAAGGCAAGTCAAATGTGTCATATTTGGAAATATAACTTTAAGAGCAG